TGAAGGAAAGAGAGACAAGGCATTAAAACTGTTTAAACAAGCTGAAGCATTGTCACCACATCATCCTGAAATTCTTCTGCATTATGGAGAATTTCTTGAAGAAGATGACATTATTCATGCTGAGCATCTTTACACAAGAGCTCTTGCTGTTAGCCCTGGTAACTCTAGGGCGATGGCCAACAGGGGAAGAACGTTACCAAAAGTACGCCAACTTGATCAGGAAATGCTTGATAAGATAGATAACAAGAGGGATGAACTATTTCGCATTCCCAAAGGTAGTCTTGCTATGAAGAGAGCCATAACTGAGGCTTACTATAAACACATCTATCATTCAAATGCTATCGAGGGTAACACCATGACCTTGTCCATGACCAGGGCGGTAGTTGAAACAAGAATGGCTGTGCCTGGAAAAAGTATTTTAGAACATAATGAAGTCTTGGGACTTGATGAAGCATTGAAATTTATCAATGGTACTTTACTACAAAAACAAGAGAAGATTACTGTGGACGATATTCTTGAAATTCACAGACGAGTTTTAGGCCATGCACACCCTTTGGAAGCTGGCAGGTTTCGAAATACTCAGGTATTTGTTGGAGACCATGTTCCCCCTGGTCCGATGGAAGTTGAAAAACACATGAATGAATTTAATGACTGGCTGTTGTCCAGGGAACCTGAGATATTGCATCCAATTGAATTTGCAGCTCTTGCGCATTACAAACTTGTCTACATTCATCCATTCACTGATGGCAATGGACGGACTGGTAGGCTTGTCATGAATTCTATTTTAATGCGAGCGGGATTTCCACCTGTCATAATCCGTTACCAGGACCGACATGAATATTATGAATACTTGAATTTGGCCAATCATGGGGATATGAGACCATTTATAAGATTTGTGGCCAGATGCACTGACAGAACAATTGATGAGTATTTAACTGCAACAACAATCTATCCCGTGGGTCATAACAAACCTCCAGAACTCACTGATGCCCACGATTTACATGAAGATTTTCATGATATTTTCAGTGTAGAAAAAGAATAATGTTTGTTAGATTTATCATGGACAGGACAATGTTCAAATGATATTTTAAGAAACACTTGGTATTGATAGTAAATAAGTCAAATCAATTATATTTATTTAACTCAGCTCAGTAGTACACAGATTACAATACAATGCTTCTTTTAATAACTGATTCTCGCTGTAGTGTGCATCATCTAGTTATGAAGCATGGGGGAAGTTTGGAGTGCAGGAAAGAAGCACAGGAGTTTCTTCTTGATCATCAGTGCTCTACATTGTACATATCTTCGAAATGAATAATTTCTCAATGATGTATAGCTAAAAGCACAAAGCAATTGTTTTATATAACACTTCCAATGGAAGTGGTGTGCATCATGGAATGATAAAAATATTAGTATGATATACACTTACATAACTGAGTTTGAGTATACCGTGTATTTGTTAGAAACGTAATGAAATAATTTCGTTATTCTTTGGCTAGGTTTGTACATGTACAATGTATATTTCAAAATACAGTTGAAAAGTTCTCCGACCTGTGAACCCTTCTGACCAGAACAAGTATCAATTCTACAAAGTAGAACATCCAAAACAAAGGCAAGTGAAGCTTGACTCGTGTCTTTTGCTTAGTTCTAATGTTTCACTGATAAGTGTTTATCTTGCAGCCCAACGACTGAGTCATGCAAAGTTCTATCAGGAGTGCCACAGAGATGTTTGTTAAACTGTGGCATTTGTGTGAAATCTCAGACATTGAGTGCTGAAATAATTTAGCTTGCCAAGAAGAGGTCTGATAACTTCAGGCTAATAAAAGTGCAATCCATATATATTGTTGCATTTACGGGAATTGTTTAATAGTCCAAGTGCTCTTAGAGAGTTGGGTTATTTATTAAGAAATATATTTACCTGAAGGTATGTATTAATAGATGTGTATATTATATGCCAATTATTAAAAAGAACTCCAAGAGACTTGTCTTGTCTGAATTTTCAATGGTCTTACGTTGTGATATAAAGGTTTTCTGCGTTTGTTTGCAGTCCACATTTCCACATGTCACAAATGCAACTATTCCTATTCCTGTCTCTCCTCATAATGCCTGGCTCCTTTTGAGAGAAAAACAGACTTCCAGCAGTCTACACCTAAGCGGTCCATGACATTTTGCCACACAACGGAGTCAACCAGCCCACTCCCAAAGGGTCCAATAGTGTACTGAGTATATTCCATTCTCATGATACATCTTGATGGCAGTTTCAGATTTATGAATGGAACATGTATAAAATAAAATTGGCTCAAACTCTGACTGGATGAAAATTAATAATATATAGATTTAGCCAAGCCTATAAGCGAAGCTCCTGATTGCAATAACTGACGATAAAGGAAAAAGATAATGATTTTTTCTTGGATCAGAAACTCAAAAAATGATCAATTGTGAGCGTGTAATTGTTCAGCGTGTGGTTTTGCTATTTTTTCCAGTTAAATTTTAACAAACTACACCCAACAAGCCTAACCAAGATGGTAGAAATTACGTACGCAATATATCAGGGAATTTCCAAGAGACGATTGTACAAGGAATATGTCAGAAGAAAAGTCAACAACGTGCCAAGGGTTAATTAGCGCCGAAATTTTGCCTTTGCGAGTACTCCTTCCTTCTCCCCCAGAGAAATAACGTAACTTGAGCCCGTGATCCAATCGGCAAACCAGTAACTGGTCAGCGGTCAACTTAAAAAAAAAACACGCAACCTCGATGAGCTCTAAACCTGAGCCCGCGATATAGTCACGTGATACCGGTCAGCGAATAGCTTGTTGTGACAGCTGTCAATTAACAATAGCGTGGACGCCCAAAATCAAAAATGTAGCTATGGTAATGGTGCTACTCTCTTTGTTTTCAAGGTATTGGCGTACGGACGTACGTACGTACGGACAGTCACGTGACAACCAAAATTTTTCAGATCGATGGGGTTACCAAATTTTCTAAGGTATGGGGCTCCGCTCGTGCGCCTTCGGCGCGCAGGAGCTCCGCTATAATAGGTATGTGTAACAAAAGATACCACTGTTTTTGTCTGGAAGCTTGTAGATTTTCATCAGTTCAGTCTGGGGAAAGGCTATGATTTTGTTTGGTGAGTCTTCTCTCTTCTCAAGCCTCAAATAAGGCCAAAGTTTGGAGCTGACAAAATGTGTGGAAAATCTCATGAAGCTTGGGTATAACAGAGGTTCCTGCGCGCCAAAGGTGCCCTAGGTGAGCCCCATACCTGACCCATTCCTTAGAAAATTTGGTAACCCAAGGTACATCTTTGATATTGGACATTCATGTTTTAGTCAATTGACAGCTGTCGAGTATCACGTGACCATATCACGGACTCAGGTTTAGAGCTCATGGGGTCGCGTGGTTTTTAAAATTGACCGCTGCCTAGATAAGATTGAATCGCAGGATCAAGCCAGTTTATTACTCTGGGGAAAAGGGAGAGGGTACGTGAACAGGCAATATTTCGGCGCGAATTAACCCTAGGTTCGTTATTAACTTTTCTTCTGAGATATTCCTTGCATAATCTTCTCTTTTAGATTCCCTGATATATTGTGCATACGTAATTTCTACAATCTTGAAAAAATTGGGTACGCTTTACTTGATAGTCTTCTTTTTGATAAAAAATTTTAACTTGAAAATGATGTGAAACCACACGCCGAACAATTAAATGTTCACAATTGATCATTTTTTGAGTTGAACAAACCCTTTTTTCCCTTTTTACCCTTTTTCCGTAGTCACAGGCAATTGCCTGTGCCTACGTTTGGTCACTATAAACTGCATGTGTTTCTCTCGTTATGAATGAATGCTGCCCGAGCCCCGTGCGAAAGAGAAAGATGTATGTATTTCCCTTGTCGTAAAAGCCTATCAACCGGGTAAAACAGAACTGCAGTGCATAAAGGGTAACACCAAAACCAAATCAATTACCAACCAAATCAAAATTAAAACCAAGGTAGTTACCTGATTACTTTCGGCGACACTCAAGGGAAAACCGCCCTGTATTTCTCTCGTAAAAGCTTGTCATGTTACCCTACTGAAACGGAAAGATCTATATATATATTTCCATTCGTCGTTTTTGCCAAATCCGTCAACTTTTTGTGGCCCTTTTAGCCAAGTGGTCTCTATTCACTTGAATAAACTTAACGGAATTTCGTCAGCTTTGCCAATTGCGTCAAAAATCGTCGTTTCGCCAAATTCGTCAATTTTATATTGCCCTTCTGACTAAGTGATCTCTATTCACTTGAATAATTTTGTCAACAAACGTGGCGAAATTTCGTCAGATTTACCACTTTCCCCAAATTCGCCGGCCATTTTCAGCGCCACATTCGTCAACTTTTGGGGGCCCTTCTAGCCAACTGATCTCTACTCATTCATATAATTTTGCCAACAGATTCGCTTTATTGACAAAATTTGCACAGATTGACAAATCTGCTCAAATCCGTCAATACCATCCACAAAATTTCGTCAAATCCGCCATTTTCGTCACTGCATATATTTCTGGAAATATCTCCTAAAAGTCGTCTACTATTCAGCATTTCTATAACTCCTGACAAGGCCTATGGCAAGCAAGAAAGTAAGCGGCTCATCGCCATCAAACCTTTTGAGAGAGACTACATGTCTCCCAAGAGCAAAACCAAGTCTTCAGCAAAAAAACACTGAAACTTTAGTGATGCACTGCGCTTGAAGCGAATCTTGTTAATAGCACGAAATATATATCTATAATTCACGAACACAAAGAAACTGCAAAGCAGTTTAAGTGAAAGCGAACTTAACTGAACACGGAAACCGCCTCAAAATAAGTAAAATAAACTCTGAGAGAGGGCAAAAGGAACGGGCAAAGAGACCCGTGATTAATAATCTTGCAGGAGTGACACTGAACATGATGTAAACCAAAAGAAGCTTGACTCATTAACGTTCTCAGCAGGAAGGCAATTGATTGCCACAGGCAGGCAATTTTTTTGAACTAGACTTTTTCCTAAGAAAAAAATTACCTCAGATGGGAAAACCAGGCAGGCAAAATCATCCTCACAGCGGGTCAATGTGCCTGGTGCGCGGTCGTTAATGAAACTCCTGGCGGGTGATGCAACTTAGGCAAGAACTGTGACTTTCCTGAATTCTCCATCAAAACAGTGCTAACACTGTAACCAAATTCCGTTAGCCATACACAACCCCATCGTCCAGAACACCAAGTTGATAATTTAACTGTGAGATACAACCACTGACCCTCTGAACCATTTCTAAAGACATACGAACATTCTATAAAGTACCGTTTCCTATTTAATTATTCCCATTTGGAGCTGCCTTTTTCATTGACAAGCGAGTAAAGCTTAAAACTGTTAGATTATAAGCTCGAGATTTCTATTTGAACAATAGTGTGTTTCTGTCGAGGAACTATCGGCCGATGGTTGCCCCGCGAAAATTTGATGTTCTTAAAACAAATATGCTAGTTTTAAGAACATCAACTTTCCAAGGGGCAACTATCAGACCGAAACCAATATGAGGCAACTATTAGACCGATAGTTCCGAGACATAAACACTCTATTGTCTACTAAATTTTCTTCCGCGTGGCATTTCAAAAATCACATTGAATTATTTTCAACTTTTTTAGATGAAAGCCGTGAAAGCCAAATGTAAAATTTGAGAAAGAAAACAGGCAAAAACCCACTTAATACAATTTCTATTGTTATTTTCCATAAAACCGCTTGTTTACAGAAAAATATTCACGGACGAGTACTATCCATCCGGGTATTTTTCACCGAGGGGCACTATGGGCTGATAGTCTCTCCGCGAATGAACACTATCGCGTCACGTGATCAATTTAAACCAATGAGAATCGGAGAAAATTTAGTAAATTTCTGTCAAATAACCATTAAGTCTTATTAGTTCTCTATGTACCATTAGACTCTCCTTTACCAGAATTGTGCAAACTTAACTGTCATTTGCAACTGTGTACAGTAATCAGTTTTTCAACTTCTTTTCGTCTTCTCAGGAATGTTTCTAAATGTTTTTCAGAAACTTGAGAAAAATGAGAAAGCATCACCATTTGGTAGACGACCCCCAGACATTGAACGGTGATGGCTGATGGCAGCCAATCAGATTGTAGCATTTATATAGTGTGCAAAATAGAATTCTACTAATAAGTGCAGTTACGAAGTTATAATTACAACCTCCTAGGAAAATAGACAATATTCACACAAAAAAAGCTTGTGTAATGAACAAATAATAGTTATCATTAAGTGACTGAATTTTCTAATAAAAGTATATCAAACTTACGTGCTATTGAAAAATCCTACCTAACTAGAAGACTATGTACATTTTAAAATCAATACGAGGCATACAAAGGATCTTTCTACAAGAGCACACAAAATAAACAGATAATCATTTCTAACCCTATCCGTTCCAAACTAATCTTAGAATTGATGTCATGATCTTCTTTACTTCTAATAACAAGCACTGGGCTTATGTTTGGTCAAAAGGCCTTTATCTAAGGCGAGTTTATCCTCAAGGAATTTTAGCATTTCAAAAATGGGTGGACTTATATTGGGAAGGGAGTTGAGGTGTAACGGTTCACCACAATTCACAATTCGAATCAAATAGACTGCTAAAACTTATACATATTCATTGTTCTTTAAAGTGAGTTACAGTCTACGTTAGAAGCCATGACGTTTGTCAACGATTGATAATTCCTGCTAACACTAACATAGAAGTTGGTAAAGTTGGCTGACTTACAGTTATGGAATAATGAAATATTTGCTAACTTGTCATTGACTATCTTTATTACTATCTTCTCGGCATGTTCATGTACAGAAAAGTATTGCGTCATCTTCATACTATCATGATATGTATTGTGGCATCAGTGTATATTTACACCATGAGAAAAATTTCAGTGTTTGAATAATGCATTTAACTAAATATATTGATGTTTAACAAAAAAACAATCAACACTAAAAG